CAGTCAGGGCACATGCCTGGGTTGCAGGTTCAATCCCCAGTAGGGGGTGTGCAGGAGGCAACTTATCAGTAATTCTCTCTCATTATTGATGTTTATACCTCTCCATCACCCTCTCTAAAATTAATACGAATATATTAATTCAAAAAAGATACACATACGTCTGAGTTATATATACACAAAGGTTGAGAAGAGAGTGGTTAAAATTAAGCACAAACTTTAGTATTACAGAGACTTGATACCCCTTCTTATTTGCCTGGGTGATCCTGGCAAGTAAAAAGGGGTATCAGCTTAATGCCATTAAGCTTCAGTTTCAGTCTCTGTAAACTAGAACAATGCTTGTATATTCTGTGTGTTTTTATATTGTTTAGGGATTTTTTGGTAGTGTGTGGAATAAATCAAATCAGGTAACTTTATTTAAAAACTAGAGAACCGATGCACAAAATTCATGCAAGAGCCTTGGCTCTGGCTCCTGCCTGCCGCAGCCTAGGCTGGGGACCCCTGCTGCCTCTGCCTTGGCCCCGCCTGCTGCGGCTTTGTCTGGAAGGAAGGACCTCCGGAAGGATGTCTGGTCTAATTAGCATATTATGCTTTTATTATTATAGATGACAACAACAATGTTATTGTAAGAATATGGGAAAGATCATAGATTCAGAGGAAAATCTAAGGAACCCATCATGAGAAAGGGCTGGTCCCAGAGCAGCTCCTCAGACTTAGTAGCAAAACTAAAGGAAGTCTTGTCAGAACAACACTACCTGGGTGAATAGAATAAGATGGTTGCTAAAGCTTTCTGTGATGTTCTACCCAAGATTCAAGTTCCAGGGAAAGCATCTTATTGGTTTATCATGAGATAAACTCTTTGCCAAAGGGGGATAGAGCACCTAAACTGGCCTCCCCACCAGGAGGTGAAATCACAGGGCAGTTGACCCATGTAGATGGAGGGTGGGGAGATGGATGCCTGCAGACAAAAACAACTCTATCCACATCTTTTCATAGGATTGCTGTGGAGATAAAATGTTAAATAGAAATCTTAGCACATAATAGTTGCTCAATACATTTTAGCTATTATATACACTGTGTGTGTGTGTGTGTGTGTGTGTGTGTGTGTGTGTGTGTGTGTGTGTGTGTGTGCTGATTTAAAACACGACCTGAAAAAAATGTTAAAATATTAATAGTGGTTATTCATGGTGATTATTATTAATTTTTTTATTTTCCAGCTTCACCAAAATGGACAAATACCTTCACAAAAATAAAAAAAATACTTATTTTAAGAGAGAGAAAAACAAGATCAGGATGAGATTTTAAGTCTGAAGTGAGCATAAATAGATGAAGAAATGATAAGAGAGTACCTTGCTTAGGTACTTTAAACAGAACTCTGGTAGGTTTGACTTGTGAAGAGGAACTCCATGCCTTGCACATACAAGTGATGGAATAAAGAAATGGAGAAGTCTAAGGTTTTCCTTACTGATATCTAGGTACCCTGGATGGCTGAGGGTAGACAGTAACTAGAGGAAAAGTCTGGCCTGAACAGGCACCTGTCTAGATATTCAGACAGAGCAGCCATGCTAGCAGAGACACCATATCAGCCACAAACAGACCTCACCAGAAAAGTGAAGCAACTTGTTGGGCTCTCACACATAGGATCCTTTCAGCATTGCTTTAATGCAGTTATACCTTCCATCATCCCTCAAACAGAAGTCCTACAGATGTTTTCAAGACAGAAGGAAGGGAGAAGGGATAAAGGAAGGGAAGGAAATAGGAGGGAGGAAGTAAAGAACTGCAGGGTAATAATATTTATTGTATTTTAAACTGATGGGAAAGAATGTTTAGTTTGCCATTTATTGAGTGAAATAAATAAAACCATTTCACTTATTAAACATATTTAAACTCACCCCAAAGCTCTAAGTTAAATAAAATTAGCCATCATTATTTTATCTTTGTTCTAAGTAACTCAGATGAGAAATTAATTCTCAAGTATATGTACTACATTTATAAAAATTTAAAAATAACAGGTAACAAGAATAGACATTTAGTAAAATGTACTGATAATATAACCAATCTAAAGTATCATTTAAACATATCAATCCTGTACTTTATATATCAGTTTACCTAACAGGGGTGGAGAACCTGTTTTCTGCCAAGGGCCATTTGGATATTTATAACATCAAGGGCCATACAAAATTATCAACCTAAAAATTTACCCTACTATATTTGGTCAAACATTTAATTAACTCACCCCTGATGCCTTGGCATGGCAAGACCAAATGATTTGGGGGCCTTTTACTGCCCACGGGCAGGACCCCTGAAGTGAATCATAAGATGTCATCATTTTACACTCTATTAGAAGAGATGATCCATGCTTCTCTTTCAGCTGGTGACCTAGTTTATGTACAAAATTCCTCTAATCCATGTAAGCAGATTTTAAAAATAAATACCAAACACTGACACATAGTGGCGAATCATTTAATCCACAGATATTTGTCTCTAAAAAGCAAGCACAATCTAACTTTACACTATAAATACCCAAGGTACTTCCTGTTGTTTGCAAAGGTATTGAAAATTAGTATTTGGAAACAAGAAGTTCTTTAATTTTCTGTATAAACGGAAAGTGGATAATATTATCTCCACAAAACAGGAGTCACTGAAATAAGAGCAGGATTTCTAAAGCAGACAGGGACCTCTGTGTTAAGAATCCTGCTGCTTATTATTTATTACTAGAGGCCCGGTGCACGAAGTTCATGCACGAGAGGGTGTCCCTCAGCCTTGCCTGCACCCTCTCCAATCTGGGACCCCTCGGGGGATGTCGTACTGCCAGTTTAGGACATCCCTCTCACAAGCCGAGACTGCTGGCTCCTAACCGCTTGCCTTCCTGCCTGCCTGATTGCCCCTAACCGCTCCCCTACTGGCCTGATGGCCTCCAACTGCCTTCCCCTGTTGGCCTGGTCACCCCCAACTGTCCTCTCCTGCAGGCCTGGTTTCCCCCAACTGCCCTCCCCCTGCTGGCCTAGTTGCCCCCAACTTCCCTCTCCTGCTGGCCTGATCGCCCACAACTGCCCTCCCCTGCCAGCCATCTTGTGGCAGCGATCTTGTGATGCCATCTTATGATAACGTGAGGGCAGCCATCTTTTGGTGGCCATTTTGTGATGAAGTCGCACATGACGCCTTCTGGCTTTTATTATATAGGATAGTTTGAGAAAACTATATGCTATTCTAAAACCTCTGCATGTATATCAACTGAAAATACATTAATGTTTGCCTAAGGATATACAAATATATGAGGAAAGAGAGAGAGAGAGAGAGAAAGAGAATGAGTTATGGAGCAACTATTACCTTAAAAAGTTACATATCTAAAGTATAGAGAGTGAGCAAGATGTACACTGAGTGGCCAGATTATTATGACCACCTGACGTTTGTAGGCAAATTAGCCATACACTGCATTGGATGGGATATGGAAGCCTAAGGCCTGTTCAAACACCTTTGCTGTCTGCAGTTACCAAGATAAAACGTCTCCAATTTGCACAGGAACACAAGGATTGCACAGTGGAGCATTGGAAAAAAGTCATGTGGTCTGATGAATCACGTTTCCAGTTGCATCATGCAGATGGCAGAGTGAGAATTTGGCAGAAACAGCATGAAAGCATGCACCCCACATGCATGAGTACAACCCTTCAAGCTGGTAGGGGTAGTGTTATGGGTTGGGGCATGTTTTTCTGGAATGATTTGGGCCCTTTAATTCATGTGGAACATCTGAATAGCACAACGTACCTAAGTATCATTGCTGATCAAGTTCATCCTATCATGTTGATGGCGTATCCCAATGGAGATGGCTTCTTCCAACAAGACAATGCGCCATGCCACGGTGCTTGTATTGTGCAGGAGTGGTTCCAAGAACATGAGGGAGACTTTACCTTGCTTAGGTGGCCCCCAGAATCACCAGATCTCAATCCAATTGAGCATTTGTGGGACGAAGTTAAAAGAGCCATCAGGCAGCTGGTTCCACAACCATCAAATCTCACAGAACAGGACAGTGCTATTCATCAGGCATGGTGTCAGATTCCTCGCATCACCTTTCAACATCTCGTGGAGTCAATGCCAAGAAGAATCGCCGCAGTATTGAAGGCAAAAGATGGCCCAACAAAGTATTGATGGGGTGGTCGTCATAATCTGGTCTCTCTCTCTCTCTCTCTCTCTCTCTCTCTCTCTCTATATATATATATATATATATATATATATATATATATATAAATATGTAAATATATCCCACATTCAAAGGCTGTTAAATCGTGTTGTTTACCCATATCTTCAGAAAAAAAATCACTTCTACTGTCATGGTAAACAACCTGCTTCCCTCTTTATAATGGTCTGGCTCTCTAGCAACTTCAGTGCAAAATTAGAACTAATTTGCCTACAAACATCAGGTGGTCATAATAATCTGGCCACTCAGTATATAAGGATATTCACTTACATAACCATATATAATTATCACACTTGGGAAATCTAACATTGATACAATATTATTATTTAATATATGATCCCTCTTTATATTTACATAATTATCTCCAATTATTTTTCTCTTTTCTTTGGGGGCCCAAAAGCAAATAATCAAGGATTATGCATTATGGTTATTGCCATGTAGCTTTGGTCTACTCTAATCTAGGTCCATTCCCCAGCCTGTGTGTGTGTGTGTGTGTGTGAGAGAGAGAGAGAGAGAGAGAGAGAGAGAGAGAGAGAGAGAGAGAGAGAGAGAGAGAGAATGACAGCACCATATTTGAATTGTTTAGTCCAGGAAAATCCATCAGATTGTTTCTTTGTGATCAGATTTGGTTTAACCACTTTTAGCAGAGATTATATTGTGAACTCAGTATATCACATTGGCAGGAATATGGTACTGAATTGTCCAACTATGGTGTATGTTGAATGTTATCATTTGGTTAGAATGGATGCCCACCAGATTTTTCCGTTGTCAAGATCTTTTTCTCTTTGTAATTACTAAGTTAACTTGAGACTGTGTGAATATAGGATTCCCCCCAAAGTTTGTTACCCAATGCTTTTAGCATCCATTGTTAATTATTACCTGAATTAATTATTACTGTGGTGATCATAAAATAGTGGGTTTCTATTTCCATTCCATCTATATCCATTAGTTGGCATTCTGTTAAAAAACAAACAAACAGAATTTTTCTTCTTCTCTTCACACCTACCTTAAAATTTTTTAAATGTAAAAATGGATTCAAATTTACTTTTATTCAATATGATATAATCCATTCTTATCACTATTCATTTTAATCATCAGAATGTCCCAAATTCAGCCAGTGAGAACCCCTTCAGGTTGGCTTCTGTGTTCTTTCTGCATACCTCTACAGGTTTTTAAAATAACTTCCTGTTTCCTGGCACAAGATGTTCCAGGTTCACTTTGTACGTTCCTTATCCTGGAATCAGCCGTTTTTCCAGAAGCATTGGTTCCATTTTTCAGGGAGTGGTGTTTAGTAAAGCTGAAAGTATTTGACCAAAGTAGGTTCCATTTTATAATTAGCATTTCATTTCTTGGATATTAGATTTTAGTCCCTGTTAAAACAAATGCATCCTAGTAAAAATTAAAATACTGAACATAATCGTCACACTTTAGGGTGAAAGTAATTAACAGCCAATTTATTTTAGAAGGATTTGGAGGCTGAGAGACTGAGGACATTGGACAAGGTGAGAGTGGGAGGGGCAATGTAGAAGTGAGATGGACCCTTGGATAAGGAAGGAAAGATAACACTAACTTCTCCTATTCCAGGCACCATCGCATACACAATTTACTTGAATCCTCACAATGATATTTATTTTTGTAAATGAGGAACTAACTTGTTCAAAGTTGCAGTGTGCATGGCAGATAAGAAGAACCAAACCCTTTCTTTATTTGACCCCAAAAGCCTCATCAGTGCCTTCCACTACCCCTTGCCATTCTCTGAGCCTTGGGCTAAGAAGACAAGGTTCACCCATTTCAAGGTTTGAGAAGGGCCAACTATGGTTGTGCTGCCTTCCCTATTCCATGTGAAGTTGCTCACTGTGACTTACGTGCATAGCCACCCTCACAAACATTGTCCTTCAGTTGAGAATAAGTTCCAAGGGTTTCTCTTTCGCTCAGGAAGGCTGTGGGAAACAATTCTATTTTAGTGTTTTCTTTCAGTGTTTTTTTTTTTTTTCAAAAAGAAAAGATAGGCATCGCAAATTGAATGCGGTCTCAGTTGGATTACTCATTACAAGTATTGCTTTTTGCCAAAAGTTAGTGTTGGTGGTGGGAAGGCCTGTTGTAGGCTTGTAAGAGATAACCGAGGCAAGCTGCCTAAAAAACAAGGTTGGGTACAAAGTCCAAAAGAACATGTTTTTTTCCCTTCTTATTGTTACCTTGGTCAGGTACCTGAACTCTTGGTTCTCTGTTTTCTCTTTGTAAAGGAGGATAATAATAGCTTGCCTGTCTGAAGAAAGGAGGCAGGATATCTAGGACAACATCAACAACCACCTATTAAGTAACTCCTCTAGATAAAACATTTCTTTTGACGCTGGAAATGTAGAGAAATATAAGGCAGTGTCTCCACCTTTATTATGCTTACCATTTGATTGGGGATGCTGGACTTGCATATATAAAAAAGGCAAATAACACAGAGACGTATTTGCAACACACCTGTGAGTATCAAAGACAAGAAAAAGGACTGATCACCAAGAACATTAGACGCTTTCCACTTAAAAATAATAATAAAATACAGTGTTCTCTTTTTTTCTACCCATGTTCTAAGAAACAAAGGAAGGAACAAAGGAAAAAGGGAATAAATGAAAGGGAAGGGAAAAGGGAAAGGAAAAAAAACACACTTTTATATTTACCTATATTTATAGGTAAATATAAAAGTCCATATTTATGTATTTTTAGTTGTTAACTTCTTATTTTCCTGTATAATTTAAAGAAAAATTCATAAAATTATAATTATAAATCTATGTTGAGTATATAATGCATAAAAATGTAATTTGTGACAATAATAACATAAAGAGAGAGATGGAGTTGTATAGGTGCAAACTTTTTATATATGATTAAAATTAAGTTGATATTTATTCAAACTAAATTGTTATAAATTAAAATGTTCACTGTAGTCCTCAGTGCAATCAACTAAGAAAATAAGTTGAAATGTGTAGAAAAACATGAGAAAGGAGTTGAAATGGTAAATATATATATATTTATATTTATATATATATACATATATATATATACACACACATACATACATGTTAAATATATATATAACTAGGTCACATCTGGAACACATGAATATGTGTATATATTTAACACCAAAGAATGCAGTCATGCAGGTATTGAGGGATAAGAAAAGGTATAAGACATATGGAAAACATAGCAAAATAGATGTCTTTTCTTATCAGCAACTAGAGGCCTGGTGCAGGGACCTCAGCCTGGCCTGTGCCCTCTTGCAATCTGGGACCCCTTGGGGGATGTTGGAGAGCTGGTTTTGACCTGATCCCTGCAGGCCAGGCTGAGGGACCCCACCAGAGCATGATCGGGCTGGAGAGGAACCGTGGGAGGGCTCCAGGGCATGTCTGGTATGTCTCATCCAGTCCGGGTTGGCCAGACCCCAGCAGCAAGCTAACCTACCAGTTGGAACATCTGCCCCCTAGTGGTCAGTGTGTGTCATAGCAGCTGGTCGAATGGTCGAACAGATACTTAGCATATTAGGTTTTTATTATATAGGATTACGTTAAATGTAAATTAAATAAAAACTCCAACCAGAATGGATTTTAAAAAAACATGATTCAACTATATACTGCCTACAAGAAACTCAGTTGAGATCCAAAGACAAGCTAGGTTGAAAAATTAAAGGATGTTCAAAGGCATTCCATGCCACGAAAAGACAGCTGGGTTACCTATATTAATATTATACAAAAATGGAAGGTAAGAAAAATTTGTTATAATAGACAAAGAAGGATATTACATAATGGCTCATTGGTTGGAGCATTGGCCTGTGCGCTGAAGGTTCAATCCCAGTCCCTAGTTGGGGCATGTGTTGGAGGCAATCAATTGGTGTGTCTCTCTCACATAGATGTTTTTTTCTCTCCCCTCTCCCCCATCTTTTTCCCTCTCCCTACTTTAAAAATAAAAGATCAATCTATCAGAAGATAATTATACACACACAGAGCCCCAAAAAGTACAAAGCAAAAAACTGACAATAAAAAGGGAAAATAGTTCAACAATAATAGTAGGACACTTATATACCCCATTTCAATAACAGGTAGAACAACTAGACAGACTAACAAGGAAGAGAAGACCTGAACAACACTATTCTCCAAGGGGGTATAAGAAACATATAGGACATTCCAACAACAGCAGAAAACACATTCTTCTTAAGTGCACATGTAACATTCTACAGAAATGACCATATCTAGGCCATAAAATGTCTCAATACATTTTAAAAGACAGAAACCATACAAAGCATTTCCTCTGAACATAATGAAATACAATTAGAAATTATTAGAAAACTCCTAGAAGAAAATATAGGGGAAAAGCTCTTGACATTGGGGTTAGCAATGATTTCTTGCATATAACACCAAAAGCACAAGAAAGAAAAGCAAAATAACACAAGTAATCAAACTGAAAAGCTTCTGCACAGCAATGGAAACAATCAACAAAGTGAAAAGGCAAACTATAGAATGGGAAAAAATATTTTAAACCATATAACTTATAAGGGGTTACTATCCAATATATACACGGAACTCCTACAATTCAAGCGCAAAATAAAACAATAACAACAAACTTGATTTAAAATAGGCAAATGAATTGATGTTTCTCCAAGGAAGACATACAAATGGCCGCATACAAGTGGTACATGAAAAGAGGCTCAACATAACTAATCATCAGGGAAATACAAATCAAAACCACAGTGAGATATCATTCCCATATGTTAGGATAGCTTTTTTAAACACACACACACACACGTACACACAACAACAACAACAACAACAACAACAACTGTTGGTGAAGATATGGAGAAATTGGAACCCCCGTAACACTGTTGGTACTTGTAAAATGCAAAATAGTACAACCTCTATGGAAAACAATAGGGAGTTTCCTCAAAAAATTAAAATTTAAATTATTGTATGATTCAGAAATCTCATTTTGAGGTATATACCCAAAAAGATTGAAATCAGGATTTCAACAAGATACATACACCCCCATGTTCACGGCAACTTTATTGACAATAGCCAATATATAGAAAGAACCTAAATGTCCATCACAGATGAATGGATAAATAAAATGGATAAGGAAAAATATATGTTATTCCACCTTTAAAAAGAAGGAAATTCTGCCATATGTAAGTTCCAGAGATGTGCAGTACTACCTTCATTTCATTGTGCCCATCAACAGATGAATGGATAAACAAAATGTGGTATATACATGCAATGGGATATTATTCAGCCTTAAAAAGGAATGAAGTACTGGTTCATGCTACAGTGTGGATGAACCTGGAAAACATTATGCTAAATGAAAGAATCCAGACATGAAAGACCACATAGTGTATGTTTGCATTCATATATGTCCAGAATGGGCGTAGAGACAGAAAGCAGATTAGTGGCTGCAAAGTGTGGTGGGAGAGGGAAATGGCCAGTGACTGCTGACAGGCACAACGTTTCTTCATGGGATGATGAAGGTATTCTGAAATTAGGATTAATGTTTGTAAAACACTGTGAATGTACCAAACACCATTATGCTAAATGAAATAAGTCATTCAGAGAAAGTTAAGTATCACATGATCTCACTCATTTGTGGAATATAATGAACAACATAAACTGATGAACAAAACTAGATCCAGAGACATAGAATCATTGAACAAACCGTCAAACCTCATAGAGAAGGGAGGGGAGGGAGAGGTAAGCAATCACCCAAAGAACTGGTATGCATATAAGCATAACCAATGGACACAGATAATGGGTGAGGTGTAAGCCTGGTCTTGGGGGCAGGGGCAGGCTGGGAGATGACAATGGAGGGAAAAGGGAACATATGTAATACTTTCAACAATAAGGAATTAAAAAAAAATGAATCCAAAGGGAATTTTATGTTCTATGAATTTTACCCCAAAGTTAAAAATACAGGAGGGGAAGTATTCAATGATTCTTCTTTTATGCCCAGCCTTATTGTAGGCATTTTCCACCTGTATTCTCATTGATCTATGGATATTTGTCCATAAACTGATCATGACTTAATTGAAGAGACTATCAAAACTTGAATCAAAACTTTACAATTTGCTCCTAAAATTTAGAATTCTACCTCTGTGAAGCAACCCCTTAACTTTCCTAAGACAGAAAAAAATGACTACATTTTATATAATGCTTCTCAAACCTTTTTCCAGCTTCTGATATTTACCCATATTATGCTTTGGTTTTTATTTTTACATTTGTTTTATTTTACAATGTGACATGTTTGTTTTATTTCTCTCTTACTAGTTTATATTTCTTCACTCACACATAGTACATGCTCAATAAAGTTTTCACTGGCCAGCTGGAATTACATATTTGGTTCCTATAAGTGTATTACATTAATGGCTCCTAAAATAGCCATGCCTGTTTGACTTGCCTGTGCAACACTCAGAATCTATTTCAAGAATGAAACTAGGTCACATCTGGGACACATGAACAATTTTAAGAAAAATTCTTTCTGAAACACAAAACTCACAATTGTATGTAAAATACAGTCAAACGCATCATGCCAAAAAGTTTTAAAGGATTAAAACTTCATTATTACACTTCTGGGTTTTGCTCTTTTACTTCATTTAATTCATTTTATAACAACAGAATGATTTACACATGCTGAAAATCAAAACAGGGAGAAAATGACAAAAAGAAAAGCAAGACATTTTACCTTTATGAGTTTTCTCAATGCTGTGGTTATCTATACATATAAAACCCTAATGTGCAAATAGACCAAACGGCGGAAAAACTGAACAACTGAACAACCAGTCGCTATGTTGTGTGCTGACCACCAGGGGGTATATGCGGAACATGGCAGGTGTCGGCCACAGTGGGATGGTGGAGCAGGTGAGTGGGGCGCCAGACCAAGGCAGAGTGCCAGTCGCTGTCATTAGGGTGAGCCTCTGGTGGTTACTGAAAATTCTTCACTCCCACGCCCTGCAGTCCCGCCCTGTGCTTGCACCTGCTGCCGGTGCCAGCCCCACTCACACTCGCAACCAGTGCCAGAGCTGCCACTCGCACCTGCTGCCAGCACCCAGCACCAGTCTGATCACTCAGCGCTGTCGGTGGTTGTGAGCGGCGGCTGCCAGCCCCAATTGCCCTCAGGGCTTCTCCAGCCCCCCTGCTCCTGAGGGGCGATTGGGGCTGGCAGCTGCTGCTCGCACCCACTGCTGACACTGGCCCCAATTGCATTGCGCTGTCAGCAGGTGCAAGCAGGGCCAGTGCAGTCAGCGCATGGGAGTGGTGGCGGCAGGAGCAGGGCTTCCAGCAGACAAGGGACTGGGGCTGTGGTGGGAGGGGCCAAGTGGGGTCACGGAGGATGGGCCAAGACCCCCCCCCCCCCATGCCCATCGCAGCCTCACAGCCACAGTTCCTTTCAAGGTGCACGAATTCGTGCACTGGGCCCTAATTTTATATAATACTAGAGGCCCGATGCATGAAGATTCATGCAAGAATGGGCCTTCCTTCCCCTGGCTGCTGGCACCGCCTTTATTCTGGCCTGGAGCCACTTTTCTGCCTTCATTCTGGCCTGGAGCTGCCTTTCTGCCTTCCCTTGCTGCCCAGAGGCCTGGAGTGGCTGGGGCAGTGCGGAACGCCTGCGTCCTGACAATGGCAACGACGCAAGCATCCCGCCCCACCCCGGCCACTCCGGGCCTGCATATGCAAATTAATTCACCAGCTCTGTTGGGTTAATTTGCATACTCACTCCTGATTGGCTGGTTGGAGGCACAAAGGTACGGTCAATTTGCATCTTTCTCTTTTATTAGTGTAGATCTGTTTGGTTATGGATACAACTTATTCACAAAGAACTAAGGCATCTCTCCTTTACTGTAAAATCATGTGTCAAAAAGGCATACACACACACAAAAAAAACTACCAATAAAGACAGTCTGAGGAATAGGGTCTCTCCTGGCCACAGTAGCACGTAGGATACTGTATAAGAGAAGCATGTGGAATGGTCTGACTTTGGTGGTTTCTAGAAACAACAGAATTTGCTGGATGCACACAAACCTTTTCTTGTACCTGTGCTAGACACTGTAAATAACAGTGGGTACTACTCTCTTTATTATTTAAGTAATTCATAAAGTTGATCCTTTTTTTGTGAAAAGGAGGCCGAATATTTCTTTTCTGATGGCACGTTATTTGAAAAATGTAAATCATCCCCAAAATGCTTAAGCAGGTGCTAACACTAGCCATTCCATTAATTCAGGTGTGCCTGCTTATTACTACCCTATACCCAGGACCTAAAATGGTACAAAGAAAAAGCTCTTTGCTGCACCATTTCTCTTTGAATTTCATTAAAACCTAGAACTATATTTTACATCTTCATAAATGCTAGCCTTTGGTTGTTGTTTTTCAGGTTAATGAGCTGATTAATCCTGATCCCCCTTCTTTCTTCTGTTTATATTCCATATTAGGGAAAGAGGGTTATCTGATGGAAAGGACTTGGTCTCATGTCTCAAATTGTTGTGAAGCTCTCCCTTATGCTGTCTTATACCACTTACTTCAGATTTATTGGCATTTATTGGCATTTACCCTATATAATAGAAGGGTAATATGCAAATTGACCCTAACAGCAGAACAACCAGGAATGAACTGTCACTATGACATGCACTGACCACTAGTGGGCAGATGCTTAATGTAGGAGCTGTCCCCTGGTGGTCAGTGTGCTCCCACAGTGGTGCACCGCTCAGTCACAAGTGGGCTGACGGCTACGAGTGCAGTGGCAGTGGTGGGAGCTTCTCCCGCCTCGGCAGCGGTAAGGATATCTGAGGCTTAGCTGGCAGGTGGACATCCTCTGAGGCCTCCCAGGCTGCCAGAGGGATGTCTGACTGCCAGCTTAGGCCCGATCCTCCGGGGAGCAGGCCTAAGCCAGCAGGTGGACATCCCCCAAGGGGTCCCAGACTGTAAGAGGGCACAGGCTGGGCTGAGGGACACTCCCCTCCCACAAGTGCACAAATTTTTGTGCACCGGGCCTCTAGTCTACTATAAAGAGTACCTGGCTCTGGAGTTGGCCCGTAGTGGGGGCTCAAAAATGGAACTCTGTTCCTTTCCTTTTCCATCTTGTTATAAATATTCCTTGTATGACTCAAAGCCCTGGCCAGGAACAGAATACATGCTCACATTGGATTCTGATGAGAATTTAACGAAGGGATTACTTACAAGAGTATGAACAGGGTTGAGAAAACCAACAAATGATCCCGAGGCATCTAGGGATAGTGACATCAAGAAGCCTTTATTTCCTTCTGCCCAAAGAAGTGAGGGGAGGCAGCAGTCTTGGAGCTTGCTGAGAGCCAGCACTAGGGAAGGCCACTGCCCTTCGGGAGCTGTAGTCACAAAAGGAACAGCCTCCCTTAGACTCTTGGCATTGAGGCAGTGGAGAGATGTTATTTCTTGTTGGCTGCACTGAACAGGAAGTCAAGGGCGAAGAGAGCCTAGGTAGTGCAGTTTGCAGGGTCATCCTCCTAGGGCATAGAGCAGGGAAGAGAAGTGAGGGGAATGGATGTAGATGATGAAAGGAAAAAGAAAGAGCATGCTCACTTCATAATTTAACTTAGAACTATTCATAAAGCAGTATTATCCAAATTTAACAGGCGAAGACATTGATATGTCAAGTTTTAATTGCTCAAAGTCACAATTGCTACTAAATAGCTGACCTAGGATTGAAATTCATGTCTTCCCATTCCCTTTCTTTCTTTCTTTCTTTCTTCCTTCCTTTCTTTCTTTCTTTCTTTCTTTCTTCTTTCTTTCTTTCTTTCTTTCTTTCTTTCTTTCTTTCTTTCTTTCTTTCTTTTTTTATTTCGGAGAGGAAGGGAGAGGGAGAGAGAGAGAGAGAGAGACATAAGTAATGAGAGAGAATCATTGATCCTGCATCCCCCGCACTGGAGATTGAGCTCCCAACCCAGGCATGTGCCCTGACTGGGAATTGAACCGTGACCTCCTGGTTCATAAGTTGACACTCAACCACTGAGCTATGCTTGCCAGGCCATTTCTATTCTTTTATACCAAAATGTCTTCCATGCATATGACTCATCTCATATTGTTGGCAATGTGAATCTTGTGAATGATTATGTCTTACATTTTAAATTTGTCTATTAGAAATTTCAGAGTCAGATTTTAAGCCCTCTTAGCTAAGTGTGCTGGATTTTATGGCTTGCATTTCTCATGGACCTTACCTCACTATTTGATCTTACTTTACTTTCATCCTGATTTCTTTATTTTTTTTTTATATTACATATATTTTCTTCCATGTCTTTTTTGAAGAGGTGAAGAATAGACAATGAATAGTGAGTAGCTAGGTAACCTTGGGCCTATACTTAGTCTTTTTCCTAACAAAAAGTCATGACTGTCCCTGTATAGGCACTGCTAACCCCTCACCTCCACCCTCAAGCACACACATATATAATATTTGCTCTAAAGTTGGTTTTACTAACATAGTCTTATTCAACAAAGTGCCCCCAGCAGCCATTACCAATCCATTAGTATTGGCAGGGGAGTTGAAATGTATTTGCTAGGCTTGCTATAAAATGACCAGGAAATTAACTGGTGATACTACAGTATCTTTAATATGGAAATGCCCTATGGAGATAGTGGCTTCCATATTTAATAGACAGCCTGAGAGCCTTTTACTCAAGCTTCTTGTCTGTGAAGAACATCACTATAGTCTGACTGTTTCCCATATTCCAAGTACTTTAGTAAAGGAAAGACAAGCAATATGTGAATGCATTTCCTCTCCAAATAATTAATTTTCCTTCTCCAGACTCAAATGTGTGGCATTATTCCAAGGATATCACAATGGTTATTTTTTAAAGTGCTGTGCTATTTGTTTTTATCATCCTAGATAAATGCCTATTTGGCCTTATTAATAGAGTTAGCTCCGCTAAAGCTGTTGGGTCACAATTCCATTATCTAACATCCGGAGGCAGCACTACAACGCCATTTAGGAGAGAGTGGAATTCATTTAAGCAATTCAAGACTTGGATCCCATTCAAGACCATTTAGTGAAAGTCCCAAAGGATTGTTATCAAGGAGCCTTGCCCATAAAGTCATAATGTCATGGAGCAGAATAACGATCAATGTATTGACAATAGCAGTTTCTTCGAGTTCTATATTTGTAGGTTATAATGTTCTCACCTGTATTGTTGCGTAAGTCCAAAATAAAGGTTTAACAAGTTCTCTTTCACACACGTCTATGTGTATGTAAATATATAATCAAAATAGGAGATTCATCTTTCCAAACTCTTGAATTGTTCACCTTCTACTCTGTCTCTTGAAACTCAAGTGTATTGGCCTGTGAGCTCTGATAATGAGGAATGACATTTCTTTACTCAAGCTGACAGCCTGGGCACTTTCCCTTTCTCCCTCATGTCAAGTTCAGTAGACTTTGACATTGACACGGGTGAGGTTGTTTCTCCTTCAGAAACCAGCTATAATTTGATATGTTTGAGAATTAAAATTAAGCACACGTCCAAGATTCTGACCCCTTTCAATATAGAATCATTCCTGATATTGTTCTTTTCCATGTCCTTTCCACTTCTCCAGTTGTCAAAGGTGAACAATGAACACTTTGATGAGGTTTCGACCTTTTAAAAATTGCTTTCCTATATATTATGTCATCGTCTTTCCATATCATTCTGTATAGTAGATCTCGTGATTCTCGCTTCACCAATGAAGACATGAAAGTCTGACATTCAGCAGTAGACAAACTCGGGGTGGGGGAAGGGGCACAGTCAGCTGTTCCAATGCTGCCAGAGGTCAGTGGTGTTCACCATGCATTAATGATTCAAAAATATCTGTTGCTCGTCTCAGTGTGTCCATCACAGTACCAGACATTGTGAGGGTGACATAGATATTCAGAACAGCTCAGAACATGTCTTCTTTGCTCCAGGAGGAACTTATAGGCACTAAGTTCTTCTTACCTCTAGCCCTTCCCAAGTGCTATTTCCTTTGCCTGGATGATTCTTCCTAACCTTCCTTAACTCTTCCTCACTTCTCTAGACTCCATGAAGGGGGCATCAGTTTAGTCACTGCTGTGTTCCCTGTGCCTAGCACTGTGCTTTGTACATGGTAAACGCTCCATCAGTATTTGTTGCATGACTGTTTGAACTTGGCATGTTATCTTGCTGTCCCTTGCTTCTCCTGTGGTCATTACAATTCCTTGGTGTCCTGTTGCAATTATAATTCAAGTTTCTCCTGCACTTGGAGTCATTATGGCCATTCTGCTTCTGACTTTGAAATAAACTACTAAAAAGTAGGTCCTATAGGTGGTCTTTCTCTGTGAGAATTTGTATTGAAAATCTGCCTAGACCCACTGCCAGTTCAAAATAGGAAGCATTGATCAGAAACAACACTGGGAACTAATCATAAAGTCTGATAGGATTTGCCAGTTTAATTTACAAAAATTAACCAGTTTGCCCTGGCAGTGTAGCTTGGTTGGTTGGAGCGTCGTCCTATACACGGGTTCAATTCCTAAGCAGGGTACATAACTAGGTTTGCAGGTTTGATTCCCAGTCGGGGTATGAATAGGAAGCAACAGACCTATGTTTCTCTTTCACCGATGTTTCTCTCTCTCTCTCTCTCTCTCTCTCTCTCTCTCTCTCTCTCTCTCCTCTCTCTCTCCTCCCCTCCCCTCTCTCTCTCTTTCTCCCCCCCCTCTCTATATAAAAAAAAGACATATTCTCAGGTGAGGACTTAAAAAATTAACCAGTTTTTAACTTTTCTACTAGAAATAATAGAATTATAAATTATGCCCTATTTGTAAGTCCAGTCTTACAGCTACATTGTTGATATTCAGCATTTAATATCTAGGGCAGAGTTAGAATAAAATTATTGCTTCCAAAGTGAGTAAAACACACATTTAAAAGATTTAATAGGAGGAAATGTCATAAATCCATTCAAATACTCTGATGTTATATAGATAAAGGAAATATTTAACATTATGAAACTTTGTTATCATCATCATCCTCCTCCATTCAAACATCTTTACATTTCTGGCATGAACATGGGGTCTGGAAGATAGTGTGTATTCAACAAATGTTTCTGAAATGAATGAATACACATACTATGACTGATACTTGACAAGAACTTTACAGCATGCAAAGTGAACAGTTTTCAGGCCATTATACCATTTGAACCTAATAACAACCCAGCCAGCTGGACAAAGGAATGATTACTAACTCTATCTTAAAAATGAAAAAAAAAAAGAGCAAGCCAGAGGGATTAACTGATTTGTCTAAGTTCACACATAACTAGTGTGTGATAGGGTTCCCACTCACACCCAAGGCCTTGTGACTCCAAGTCTAGATGCTATTCTGGCTTGCCTTTCACACATACATTTATGTATGGTGTAAGGACAGACTTCCTTAACATGTTAAATGGCACTCAATATATTTTCAAATATTGGAATGCAATTGTTCTATTTTTTTAAAATTAGAGAATCACTAACCTAAATAAACATAGACATCATTAAAACAAATTTAGGGCCTGAAAATAAATGAACACATTGTCTTGGGACTAAAATGAGAGGAAACCACCGGGTGTGTGGGATAAAAATAACCATGCTGTTAGGGAACTGTCAGCCTCTCTTAGTCTGAAGGAGTGAATAATTATCACTAGAGGAAAAAGAAAATAAACCATAATTAAGCCACGGTGGTAATAGTGCTCCTTTAGGGATAATTATTTTTCTTTATTGCCTTCTAACAGTACTACTCTATAGATGATATAGAACGTTCTATTCTTATTTTTATAGTTATATTTGATCCATGAATTTTAAAACCTATGCTTTTGAGAAACAAATTGTTTTCTTAATCTGATTTAAACTTAGTAAAACCTTTAGATTTTACAGGAGACCCTATAAACATTTTTAAACAACCACTGACTCATTATTTAACAAAAACAACAGACCGTTGTTAATTCATTTAGCCCAACAATCAATAAACATCTAAAAACTGTTCAGTAATGGGAGCTGTGAGAGAGACAGAGTGGCCCGGTTGAGGGTGGCTCTGTGTTACTGGAATTCTCCTGCAGAGGCTGGTAGTTGAGCCAAAGAGAAAATTCCAGAATTGAGTTGTAGGATGGGCTTCTTTCTTTGTTACTTTTTGGAAATTTTGTAACTGTCCTAATTTCAAAAAAAAAGTCTTCAATTTGCCTACAATAAAATTACAGGTATAATAAAATAAACAACCCTAGCATTCACTGAGGGCAACCAATCAGGAAAAGAGAAATCTTTTATCAAGAATTCACAGCTGAGGAAAGTACAATTTGGTGAGTATACAATGTAGTCCTGAGCTAAAGAGGGGAACATTATTCTTAAAACTTAGTGGAGCCTGGAGCTCTGTGAGGCATTGGGTAGAAGCCTGGCCCTGGAAAAAAGTTTGACTGAAATAACTAATGTACATAACAGCGTATGTCTCAGCGAAAATGCACCAGTATCCCCGCTATGAGCTCGTTTTATAGATATCCTTAGTGCCATCCAAACACTGGGAAGACAAGACTGTGGACCAGGTTTAAGTTTCCTGAAGATGACTACCAGCAGAGAAATGCTTCTATAGGAGGTGGGATGGGGGTGGGGGGGCTGAGAAGTCGGGGAGGCTCCCACTTCACATGCCTCCATTTCTATGTGAATGGGGATGCCCTTCCTTCCCCTATTTAAAACCCTTCTGTGGCAAACTATTGCATTCATGACAAAATCTGAAATCTT